AGACAGCAGAGCACAAATGCTGACTATCCTCCAAATCCCTGAGAGCTGGTTCAGGCGTGTCAGCCAATCCTCCCAACTTCGTATCATCAGCAAACTTGCTGAAGGTGGCCACCATCCCCTCATCAAGGTCATTGATGAAGATGTTGAACAAGACCGGACCCAGCACCGACCCCTGAGGAACACCGCTGGTTACCGGCCTCCAGCCAGACTCTGCGCCACCAACAACGACCCTCTGCACTCTGCCAGTCAGCCAGTTCTCAACCCACCTCACTGTCCACTCACTCCACTGTCCCACACTTCCTCAGCTTTGTTATAAGGATGTCGTGGGGGACAGTATCAAAAGCCTTGCTGAAATCAAGGTAGACTACATCCACTGCTCTCCCTCCATCCACCCAGCCAGAGACAACATCACAGAAGGCCACCAGGTTGGTCAAGCACAACCTCCCCCTGGTGAACCCGTGCTGACTGCTCCTGATCACCTCCTTTTCTTCCAGTTGTCTGGAGATGGCATCCAGCACAGCTGTTCCATCACCTTTCCAGGGACAGAGGTGAGGCTGACTGGCCTATAACTGCCTGGATCTTCCTTCTTGCCCTTTTTGAAGACCGTAGTGACGTTGGCTCTCCTCCAGTCTTCAGGCACCTCCCCCATCCTCCAAGACCACTCAAAGCCCCAGCACCATTGCAGGCCACCAGCCAGATTCAGCGCCACTGATGACAGCCAGCTGAGGGAGCTTGCTGAAGACAAGGGACGCAACACCCACTGCTCTCCGCCCAGCTACGCAGCCGGTGGTGACATTAGAGAAAGCTACCGGGTTGGCTCATGATTTCCCCATGGAGAATCCATGTGTGAAACTGGATCCAAAATCTCTGATGAGCACCACGAGAACTCATTTAGAAGCATTGCAGCCATTTCCACCGAAACAGAAATTGCTGCATTAGTTTCAGGGAAGCAAAGGTTAAATCTCCCACACGTTTGAAGGGACCGTTGTATTTATAAAAATATTTTATTAAATATAAAAATAGATATACAAAAAGATATACAAGAAGAAGGTTGGTTGTTTCTATACATTGAACATATATGTATACGTAATGTTATCCATTACACACAGCCCATTACATTACTACATGTTACATTACACATGATGTATATGTGCGCAGACGCGGCCTGAGACAATCCCTCTTCACTCAGCGCTGCTCAGCCAAGCCAACAGCTTGGGCAGCCGTGGCTGCGGGGGTGCAGAGGGATGCGCCGTCCAGCCGCTGGGAGCAGAGGCCGGGAATGGCGGCGCCTGCTGAGCACGGGCAGGGACACCCCAGGGAGAAGGGCAGCAGGGCACTGGGTTTGCTGTGCTCCTCCGAGGGACAGAGCTGTCACAGGAGTGCTGCAGCTCAGCAGAACAGACAGCACAGCGCTCGCAGGCCCCGTCGTGATGTCGCTGTCCTCGTGGTCGCTCTGAGGATCAGTGTGGTCTGCACTGCCAAGCTTTGGACCGAGCTCTCCGCGTCACGGGCCAAAGGCGCCAGGGCTGCAACAGGAAGAAACAGAGCAGGGATGAAGCAATCTGCAGAGATCGCCGGCAAACTCTGCAGACCGCTCCAATGCCACACGTCTCTGTCCCAGGCTGGGTAGGACAAACGGAGCGGCCCATCAGGAAAGAGCCAAATGCATTAGAATCACCAAATCATCTCAATTGGAAATGACCTTTGAGATCATTAGCATCACATAACCCACATGTCCTTCCCTGTTTGCAGGTGGACACATTCCCTCCTTTCCTCTCACATCCTGCAAAGGAGGCTCTCCTTCACACACCCCAGGCATCTCCCCAGGACTTTCCTCTCCAGGCATTCTACTTCCAGCAGACATCACGGACAATGACATGATATCATCTCCCTCTTCATCGAGCTTGGGCTCCCACCACAATATCAGCCTTGCTGCCCTTTCCTCTGACTCTGACTTAGGACAGAATTCTTTCCTTACAGGGCAGGGAGGCCTTTCCTTACAGGGCACAGGCAGCCCAGAAAACATGCGGGTTCCCTACCCATTGAGGTGGTCAAGGCCAGGTTGGATGGAGGCCTTGGCAGCCTGATCCTGTGTCCAGGGGCATCCAGGACACAGTACGGGGTTGGCACAGGATGGCCTTAAACGTTCTTTCCAACCGAACCATTCTCCCACTCTGGGATTTCATGGTTGTACCACCTTTGAGCTCCCTTTCCACTGAATTATTCTAGGATCTCGTGACTGCATGATCTCTCAGGTCCCTTTTGATCCCATCTCTCTAGGATTCCCTGGTTCTGAGATCCTTAAGGTCGCTTGAAAGTCAACCTTTCTAGGACTCTGTGGTTTTGTATCGCCCTCTGCCCCAAGAATTTCCTTGGAGGAGAGCAAGGCATGGGAATCTCTGCCCCCAGCCTCAGTACACACACCACAGCCCTCACTTACCTGTGATGATGTCCTGTCGCTGCTTCTCGCTCAGGTCCCTTGAGTAGCGTGCAGCAAGCCCTAGGCACAGAGCACCCGTCAGATCTGCTGCCAGCAGCAGAGCCGCACTGCTCCCCAGCAGCGAGAGTGGCCGAGGGCGGCCTGAGCAAGGCAGCAGGGCCCTGGCACCCACTCAAGGGGCTCTTAGGGCAACAGGGCAGTGGCTGGGACCGCCAACCACTGCCAAGAGGGACAAAGGGGCTGTGGCTCACCAATGAACCTCACGGCCTCCCCTCGCACGGCCGCCTGAGGGTCCTGCAGGTAGGGCTGGCTCTGCTGCAGGTATTCCTCTGCCCTGCTCTGGTCCCGCTGCAGCTGGAGAGAGCACAAGAACATGGGGATTGCAGACGCTTCCCAGCTCCCCGCGCTGTTCCTGTTGCTCGGGGCTCTGGGGCTCTCCTTACCAAGCACTGCGCGATCCTCCACGTCTCCTGTTTCTCAGCCAGCTCCGGGAGGTCGTTCCAGCGCAGGACACGGGCCATTTGTACAACGGCTTTCCTGGCGGTCTGTGGGGAAGCAGAAGCTGGGAGATGGCACCACGGCCCGAGGAAGGAGACCCGGCATCGCCCTCCTCTCGGCAGGGCCGGGAGCCTTTTCCCAGCACGCTGTGGGAAGGGAACAGAACACGGACAGCAGGGCGTGATGGCCACACACAGACACAGAGCCGCAGCCCCTCCGTGGTCACCCAGCACAACGCTGGGCTCCCAGCTGGCTCTGTCCCAGGCCTTCGACACCCAGGCTGCGGGTAGCAGAGCTCGGAGCCCAGGCTGTGGGTGCACGACCCCTCCGCCTGCTCCGGTGCGAGGAACGGCAGGGAGCTGGGCCTGTCCTCCGGGCCTCGGGCAGCAGCCACGCACCCTGGCACCCACAGCACCCAAACGGTGTCACCGTGCCCTCGGTGGGGCGGAAAACTGTACCTGGGCCACGTCCTGGTTCTCATCGTGCATCCGAAGGAGCAGTGGGACCAGGCCCCTGCGCACCGTCCCCTTCATTCTGCTCCGGTGGCACCAGACCACGGCCTGCACCATGTCTCTGTAGAGACGGATGGAGGACACCTGCACGGCACTGGACTCCTGGGAGGGAGGGAGGGAGG